TCTCGCAATTTACATGCAAAGTATGCTATTGATTTTTTTTCGTATACATTTGACGTAAAATTTGAAAGTTTGAAAGGACCTGAACAAAGCCTAATGTAACTGCGCATGGCCGTGACGACCCTAGCTATATAGGAGTACTATAGCCCTGACTGCACGTTGCATGCACGTGGTGCCATGCGCTACACTATGCTGGCCGCGTGTCAAAATAAATAAAGCGTACTCCGAAAATAATACGGTCCCAAAATAATAATTGTGACCACTATTTTTATTAGAATACACTACCTTTGTTTCATATTGTAACTTGTTTTTACTTTCTTTTTAGTTTAATTTTTTTGGTTTTATCAAATTTGAAGAAAAATTTAGTACCATTTACAACACTAAATTAGTTTCATTAGACATATATAAAATTGAATACATTTCGAGAATATGTTTGTTTTGTGTTTATATTTTTCTAAAAATTTGATCAAAGTTGTGTTTGACTAGAAAAAATCAATACAATTTATAATATGAAACAGAGCGACTATATATGATTTTGTCGGAGTATTATTTTTCAATACTAATCCATATATATGGTCTTCATATTTTTAAGATAAATATTTTAGATGTTATTCATAATTAGTAAAAGTTTTAAAATTTAATAATAATTGTATTCGAATCTATAAATAGTATTAAGCCTGAGGGTAACTCGGTATATGATCTATCTTAAGGCCTGTTTAGATCTCACCTCAAAATTTTACACCTTATCACATCGAAAGTTTGAACTTCTGCGTGAAGTATTAAATATAGGCTAGAAAAGTAACTAATTGCACAAATTGTGACTACTTTGCGAGACGAATCTTTTAAGCCTAATTGCTCTATGATTTGACATGTTGTGCTACAGTAAACATGTGCTAATAACGGACTAATTAGGCTTAATAAATTTGTCTCGCGATTTACTGACGGATACAGTAATTAATTTTTTTATTAGTGTCTGAACACCCCATACGATAATCTATTATATACTAAAAAGTCCATTAAACTTCCTACAAACGCTACTCAAGTTGCCACGTGGCGCTCTAATAAATTAGAGAAAATCCTAGAAATTCTAAGAAAAAAGCAAAACATCTACCCTTGATTTTCACTTAAATTAGTGGGTCCAATATTATACACCGTTAGATAAAATTGATCTTAAAACAAACCAAATATATGGGTCCCACCTCTCCTTTTTCTCCCGCGTGCATAGGTATAGGTCACGTACGTACATGCATGTGGACCTGTTGTTCGTACGCCTCCCTCCATTTTTTTCCTTTTTTTCTTCTTTTTTCCATTTATACAATCTGATATATATTTGTTTAAATAATAATAATTTAGAAAAAAAGAAAATACCATCATATAACTCTTTATAAACACAGGTAACTAAATTAGCTATGCAGACTTTGAAAATAAAATTTACACCATATTATATGTTAATTAGCTCTAAAATCAATAATGTAAGATAATTTACTAAATACTATTATTTTCATATAATGCACTATTTTAAAATAAAGCTTACACAATATTATATTGTGTACCTATCAAATAAACAATTTAAGATCTATATTAACTAATATATACATGTACTTAAACAGATAGACCCATTATTTAAATCATCGGATCTATTTTTTATTACTTTGGATTATTATTCTCAAATAATTCAGTGTTTTAAAATAAAATCTACACCATCACCATAATGTTGTGTACCCATTAAATTAACAATTTAATATATATATATATATATATATATATATATATATATATATATATATATATATATATATATATATATATATATATTAACTAAGTTACATTTACACTAAAACCGGTGGACCCATTATTTAAATCATCGGATCTATTGTTAATAATGTCTAAAGTTCTCTTTTTGGCCCACTCCACAATGCACATCTGCACCTTTGCCTTTCGCACATGTGACAGAGTGTCGTGTTTGAGGCATCTTGGGTGATCACGACCGCTGCAGCGCTACCGTTGTTGTTAATAGCATAAAAATAAAATTAAAGATGTGATGTAGCGAGAGAAGAATTAAGTACCGTGGAACACTTAACTCTGTTTAAGCTGAAATCGAGAGTTGATTAAATAATAATTATAATGTATTGTGTTATGTTGTATTTGCATTTTGTATTATTTGTTCGTACAGTTGAAAGAAATCATTATGTTATAATTGTGAGCACAATATTAACGAATATCAACAGAACTCTTACTAGGATAAGAGTGTTATAAGGGAGTTTAAGGCCCTATTTTTTCCCTGATTCCATCTTTTGAATTTTCGTTTGCACGCTCCACGCTTTCCAAGTTACTAAATGGTGCTTTTCTTAAACAACTTTTTAACTTTTCAGAAGTCAATTCATTCGTTTATAATCTCAAATAGCTATCACATAAATCAGATAATTCATCAATTTCAGTTGTCCTATCCCCTAAAGTACATATTTTTTTCATGCGAGTCATGGTGATAAGTAAATTGGTGATCAACGCATAATCAAAGTCGTAAGATAAATCTGTTAGAACAACTATGACCAATTGTAAATAGGTGTCAAAATTAATTGCTATTAATTAAACAACTAATGGCTTGCTAGCAACATATTTAATTTTTCTCTACATGTATATAAACATGGACGAAGCTAAAACGAATATGAACATACATCCCATACATATATATATTACATCTTAATATTCTAATTACATGTGGTAAGTCCACTAAAATTTCTTAAAATGCCCTCAAGATGTCACGTGGTGCTCTAATAAATTAGAGAAAATATTAGAAATTCTAAGAAAAAAAGCAAAGTATCTATTACTTGATTTTCACTTGAATCGATGGGTCCAATATTATAAACCATTAGATTAAATTGATCTTAGAACAAACTAAATACTACGAGGTCCCACCTCTCCACCTTTGGTACGCACCTACGTACGTGGGTACCTACGCTTCCCCACCCTTTTTTTTTATTTTTCCCTTTCTTCTTTTTCTCCATGAATATGCTTCCCTCCCTTTCTTACTATATCATGCACCTTCACGAGACGATTTAATCTATTTACTTAAGAAAAAAATATGATTCAAAAGTCGTAAGTACTTAATCCATCTCCCACTCAAAAGCTTGCGAATGGACTTTTAAGATACCTTAACAAAAAAAATAGAACCCTTAAATTATTACAAAATAACAGTATCCGAACTTTAGTTTGCCCTTAATCTATGTGATAATTTTTTTAACAAACAATAAAAATCTTACCTTTCAATAATATATGTGCCCGCGCATACGCGCGGGCCACCTTCCTAGTTTATATAATACCCGATGTGACACGCCGAAACTTTACACTCGTAGAGAACACCCTCTTATAGGGTGTTTGGGTGAGAGGGACTAATCTCGCTAAAAAAATAAGGAACTTTTTTTTTTGGTGAAAGGGACCCAAACACCCCCTTAGGGCCTCTTTGAATCAAAGGATTTACGTAGAAATTTCATAGGATTCAAATCCTATAGGAAATTTTTCTATTTGACCCTTTGATTCAAAGGATTGAAGTTTTTCAAATCATATGAAATTCCTATGGAATGGCACATTGCATGTGGATTTTGGAGGAAATTTAGTAAGAGCTCCAACCTCTTGGAAAATTTCCTTTGAGTTATCTCTCTCATCCGATTCCTGCGTTTTTCCCGCGCTCCAATCAAACGACCATTCTTGTGTTTTTCCTGTGTTTTGCAATCCTCTGTTTTACACTTCAATTCCTGTCAGAATCCTGTGTTTTTCCTATTCCTTCGTTTTTTTCTAGCTTTCAAAAGGGGCCTTTAGAATTGTGGTGTCACATCTTCGAAAACGGAGGAAGTAAAGCTCTGCTCCGTGGCGATCGAGAGAGCGGGACCCACCTGCAGGAACAGCTAGTGCATGTGTGCCTGCCGACTTCTGCACAACATACGTACGGCCTGTCAGTCAGACGGTCTGTCTGTCAGTAGATCTAGCAGGGCAGCTGCTATCCAGTGCAGGCATAGCCAACGAAGACTGATGACAAGTTTTGCAATTCCGTTTCAGCTTGACATAATGTGAGCTCTAGGGAGACGATGACAAATTCACAAAATTTGCCACAACATCTGAGTAGCTTGCAAATCCATAGGCCAGATTTCATGAGTTTCGAAACAAAATTCAATCGAATTTGTGAACCCTCATGAGTGGTGTGACCTCAATCAAGCTGGTTCTACTTTTACAATAAGCCAAAAATGGAATAAGTTCACTTTAGGTCTCTTGATTTGTCGTCGAGTCTAAAATTTATCTCTAAACCGTGATATCATATATGACGCGTCTCTTAACTTTTAAAACCAGTGCAAAGTGTGCGTTAATTCAATCCGTAGTTGCTGGTAATTTAGGTCCATAAGGGCGGTTGATTTTGTCCCATACATACGGTTGGTAATTTTGGTGCAACTTCAGCCCATAAATTAGTTTTAGCCCACCTAAGTTAGTACAAACTCCTCTGGTTCAAAAAAACAATTCCCAATCCGTCCCACTCCAAATCTACCCAAATTTACTTGTTAATCGAGCTGTGGTAGCACCAGGGACGGTTTCATCCCATCTGCATCTGGCAGAGTTTCACCAAGTTGTTTGTTGCATTTTCTTATTTCTGCCACTTGATCGTTAGGTGAGCACGACTGATAAAAATAAGCTCACATTCTTAATTCCAGTGGGCTACCACGGCGAAGCTGCCATTAATTAATACTACCTCCGTTTTTTAATAGATGACGCTGTTGACTTTTTCTCATATGTTTGACCATTCGTCTTATTCAAAAAATCTACGTAATTATAATTTATTTTGTTATGAGTTGTTTTATCACTCATAGTACTTTAAGTGTGATTTATATCATATACATTTGTATAAAATTTTTGAATAAGACGAATGGTCAAACATGTGAGAAAAAGTCAACGGCGTCATCTATTAAAAAACGGAGGGAGTATATAATTTTTGATGCCAACGCAACGCGGAGATTAGCTTCTTGGAGCCTTGACGGAATCTGGGCGTTGACCTCTAACCTCTAATCAGAGTCTAGCCCCCAATCCTCTCCTCCTATCCAGTGTCATCTCTTGTTTGCTCAAGCTCTCTCCAGCATGGTGGAAGCTGCTGCTATTGCTTTTGCCAAGAGCTCAGCCGTTTTTGTTGGGAAGAAAGTTGCAGAGACAGTGATCAGTTATGTTGTGAACAAAGCCCTTGATCGCCTTCCGCTGGAGAATGAGGATTTGAAGACTAAGTTGAAGAGTAAGCTCTCCAAAACTCAAGCAATGTTATATGGCATTACTCTGCAGGAGATCCAGGACAACCAAGGGTTGGTTGAATGGCTTTGGCAGTTCCGCGATGCCATACAGGAGGCCGAGGATGCACTTGATGAGCTTGACTTCTTTGACTTGGAGAAGGTGTGCAATCGGAAGGCAGAATCTTCATCATCCTTGGTCCCTAAATTCATGAGATTGCAGCTGTCTGTAAGTTCTAATAACTCCAACAGCAGTAGAAAGAATCTCAAGAATGCTCTGATGAGGTTAGAATCTGTCTTTGATGATGCTGCAAATTTCCGAGTGGTAACTGGGCATGGACTTCACACTTCCCCTCAACGTAATGAAGGGCGCATACAAGATACGACCAACCGAAATGAGACAACGAGAGTGTTAGCAACACCTGTATTTGGAAGGCAGAAGGAAAAAGATGAGATAATTGAATGGCTGGGTGTTGAGGCTCCAGGGAGAGATAGCAAACTCTCAGTGTGTGCAATAGTGGGTGGGGGTGGTATGGGGAAAACATCTCTTGCTCAGCTTGTCTGTCAAGATAAGAAGGTTCAGGATCATTTCGGCGACATGATTATCTGGGTGCATGTTCCCAAGCGCTTTGAACCTGTAGTGTTGGTGGCAAGAATGTTGGAATCCATTAACAGGAACAGAGTTACTGCATCTTCTTTGGACATACTGCAATTAGATCTCACTAAAGAGTTGGTTACTAAGAGATTTTTACTGGTTCTGGATGATGCATGGGAGGATGGGGAAAATGAGCTATGGGGGCAATTTTTATCTCCCCTGAGGAACATTATTGCACCAATGGGAGGTAGAATCTTGCTCACGACCCGAATGGGGTCAGTGGCTGATGCTGTTAAACGCCAAATGCCATCAAATGAATATAAATGTGTTGTACTGGGGGGTTTAGATCACAGAGATATTATGCAGATCTTGAACCATCATGTGCCTCCTAATGAAGATTTGGAACTTCGAAGTGTAGCTGAATGGATTGTACACAACCTCGAAGGATGTCCTTTTGTAGCAAAAGTGATTGGTCAGTACCTCAGAGACAACACTGATCATAGCAATTGGAATGACTTCTTAAATAAAAAAAGTATGTCATTTAGACGATATTGCACCTAGGGTTATGGAGATGCTCAGGTTGAGCTATGAAGATCTAACCTCAGAGGTGCAGCTTTGCTTTCAGTACTGCAGCATATTTCCATCCCATTACAAATTCAGGATGGAAGAGCTTACCGAGATGTGGGTGAGTTCAGGATTGATACTGCAAAGCACAAAGGGGAATAGTGGCCAGGAGAAAATTGCTCGGGAACACTTCAATAGTGGCTCGGGAACATTGGGGGACCTGACGGTGATGGATTGCCTCCTTTCTTGGTTACCTTAGTTGTAAAAGACTGTCTAGATCTGTTGAATCTACCTCATCTACCTTATAGTCTAAAGCATTTGGGGATAAATAAAGTTGGAATACCTTGTCTGCCAGCCAGTAATCATATGGCATTACAAAACGTTTCTACAGTTGATCCACAGCTGTGCAGTCTTCATGTAGATTCTTGTCCTAATTTGTGTTCCTTCGGATCATGTATCGTAGAAGAGCAACACTACAAAGCTCTTACTAGCTTGAAAGTCGTCGGCTGCAGCATGCTCTAGAAGCTCCCAAGTGAAGAACATTTTAGAAGAATATCCACAATGGAGAGTATTGAAATCCTTCAATGTCAGAGTTTGTCGACCTTGGGTGGCCTAGGAGCACTTGCTTCCTTGAAAATACTGAAAATACAGCAGTGCACTCATCTAACTGCTACATCTTCAGGTATTCCGGTAGCACCAGCTATGCAGTCTTCTCTTGTGCTTGACACCCTTGAAATTGATAACCATCTTTTGCTTCTTCAAAATCCATTTAGAAACTTCTGCCTCACTAGAAGACTTGTATCTAATGGATCTGAAATGCTTGAGTTGCCTCAGGAATGGTTATTGCAGAATAGTTCTCAGTTGGAACATATAGAAATAAACAATGCAAATCTGCTCAGATCACTGCCTTCAACTATGGACACTCTGCACTCCCTGAGGAGTCTGGTTCTGTGTAATGCTCCCCTCCTCGAGACACTTCCTGCTATGCCCCCCAATCTGTGGGCTCTTCAAATAAGTGGTTGTTGCACTCGTTTAAAGGTGGGGTGTAAAACCAATGGTTCTGAATGGGAGAAGATTTTGCCAATCCATAAAGTTGATATAAACTAACATGTTATTAGGTATGAATATTTCCGTTTCAACAGTTATCTTCCCTGATATGTCCGGTCTCCTTGCTCATTTCTAGTTAGGTTTCCATTACAATAATAACCTTTTTTTTTTCTCTCCTTGTTTTGATAGGCAAGAGAATATTCCATCTCACCCCTAGAAGAGAAGATGGTTCCCAACTCTAGTGGCCTTATTTGGCAGGCTGGGGTTAGGCAAAAATCCAGGCCCTTTCCCTAGCCATGAAGAGGAAAACAATCCACGAGTGAGGGCGTTCTCGAATTTCAGAACTTTTGATGCATGCTGTGCGCCCTATCAAAGATTTGATATTACATTAATATTATAAAGCCATCATTTTAACTCTATACTGAGCAATTAAACTCAAGTGAGCGATTTTATTTTATTAAAACTAGGAAGGTAGCCCGCGCATTCGCGCGGGCATGCATATTAGATTGCGTTAGAAACTTATAAGAACAGAATACCAACTGGATTGTTTGTGTTGTAGGTCAAAAGTATGATTTCCAAAAACATTCTTCATGAAGCGTCGCGGTTGGCACCTCGCCTCCATTTGTCATCTTTGCTCTAGGGAGGAAGTTCTTCATGAAGCGTCGCGGTTGGCACCTCGCCTCCATTTGTCATCTTTGCTCTAGGGAGGAAGTTCTTCATGAAGCGTCGCGGTTGGCACCTCGCCTCCATTTGTCATCTTTACTCTAGGGAGGAAGAGACTTTGCTCACATCTTTCAAGGTTGTTCTTACACACAAGAAGTGTGGAGTAGTATCAGAGGGTGGTTAGGGCTTCGTTGCTCAACGCCGATGGAGAGTCTTCCCTCTTGGTGGTGTGATGCTCGCAAAGCAATCAAGAAGCGGGACAGGAGAGCTTTTGATGAGAGCTTTTGATGCGGGCATCATCTTGGTGACATGGCTAATTTGGAAACAGCGCAATGCTCGTGTCTTTGAGGGGCATGCAGTGTTGTCGGTGAATCTTTGTGCCGCAATCGAGGATGAGTGGAAATCGTGGCAAGAAGCGGGCTTGACTTCCTCTCTTTGAGTTGTAAAGTGGAGGCGTGGGTTTTCCCTCGCCGTTGTTGTATACATAAGGATTGTTTTATTTTGTAGTCTGTGGTTGCACGTCGTTTTCTTGGGTGTGCTAGGTGATCTGTAAATTCTTTCCCCCCTCTTAATATACTCCGATCGGTTGTTTTCTGACCCGGCGAATATTGCTTAAATAATGTTTTCCAATCTATTTTGTTATCATTGTATTATATAATTTAATTTACCCCTATAAGAAATTATGTATAATTTGCTTAATCGTCTTTAAAAGAAGATAGGCTTAGTTTGTTTTGGGAACATGTTTCACAAATCAAGTGTAAATTAAAAGTAAGGTGTTTTTCTTTTTATAATTGATTGTTTAAGGACTCTATTTTTTTTAAAAAAAATCTTCCAACACAATAAAGCTGCCCTCTAATTGGTTCACATTGCTGCTACTTCTTGCATACTTACAACATACTTACATGTAAGCATTTAAGCACTCAAAAATGATGCAATGGTTATGTTAATGGGTGTTCTAGTTTAAGTGAAATCTAAGAACCTATTTTTTTCTATGAATTTTATAAGTTTTTCTACAGTTAGATCATTTTAATCCCTATTGACATTTCATATTTTCTATTTTATTGTATGTAATCTTATTTTAAGATCAAATTTTGTGAGATGATAGAATAGTGATAGAGTGTTACATCTTATATGTCAACCTTTTTTAAAAATAAAATTTAATCGACTTTTGTATAAACATCTAATACTAAAATAGGTTCTCATTGTTTATTTATTTATGGATTGGGGTATTTGAGACTATGTTAAAGACACATGCTTGTAGAGTCCAATTTTATTGTTAAGTGTGCAAGGCTCCTCACGGCTAAATATAACTGCGAAGGCATCATTACTTTGGAATGTAATTTTTTTATTGTTCCATGATTTATTTATTTTTACAAAATTTATAGCTAACCATTAAGAATTATGTACTCGAAAGTACCCAATCTACAAATGTTTTGTTTAGCTAGCTGCACTGGGCATGAATTAAGTACAATTAGATTATATAATTGTTTAACTGAAGCATATTATGTCTGTCCACTTGCCATAATTATCACATATTCCATCAAGTTCTGGAAGAACCTAGAAAATCTGTGTCTCAAAGATCAGACAAATTATTTGAAAGCATTTCGCATTTCTAGCATGGAATTTGTTTGGTCGATATACAGCCCTCTTGCAGCTCCTACTCAATATGCCCTATGGCGATAAAAAGTAAGGCCTAGCTGAGCTCATTACGACTCTCTCATCCTCTATATGGATGCATTATTCTTGTCTTATTAAGAATGATCTACTTTCTCTCTCCTGCTTTGCTTTCTCATCCAAGTTTGCGCGAGAAAATTTTTGGGTTCGAAAGTCTAAACAAATTCATTGTAAAATTTGTGTATGTCTAGTATATGACAATAGTTTGTTGACAATGGTTTTGTTGCACCTCCTAGTCATCATGCTACATGGTTGTATAACTTTTCTAATGCTGAGACATGGAGGTTTCCATGTGATCCATTGTAGTAGTATTCACAGTATCGATCAAGTTTAATTTTTTTTTCTCATGTCTGGGTGTATCATAAAATAAAATGGATTCCAAACTTTTCTTCAAGTGTATGTATACACATAAACATGTTTATAGCAAGTTAAAATATTATGATGTGATTTTTTTAAAATATTATTATGGAATTAATTAATACATGTCAACATCATCTGTCGCAATGTATTTTGCACTAAAATATAGCCAACATAAGTCATCAATATAAATTCATAAAAAAATTGATAATAATTACATATTTCTTTTAGCAAACATATGCTCAAACATCGATAGCGTAAAAAACAAAGGTAATAAATATATTATGGGGAATCCTAGGTAAAAAAAAAAAGTAAACAGGATGAATGGGAAGGGAAAAAGGGGACGTACTCCCTACGTCCCAAAAAACTCAATTTCTGGAGTTTGAATTTTGTCCAATAAAAAATAAACTTCTACAACTCTACTTACTCTCAGCACAAAAAAGAGAAGTTTTATCCCTTAAATATCTTTTACCTACCTATCACTATTACTACTTTTTCCAATAATGAGAGGTATTTTGGTCATTTTTACTCCACTACTTTCTTCTTAGGATTGTAGGAGTTGATATTTTGTGGGACGGAGGGAGTATGTAGGTTAGTACATTACCTGTACATATGTTTTTAGAACGCTGCTATACGTATGACGCCAATGTTCGACTGGCGTCCGACTCCGTTACGGCATCACCTACACATGTCAGATTCTATCACGGAGTGAGACTTTTGCCGTCTGAGCCTTTTCTTGTGGCCAGAGTCATACACAATAGCCAGACAACAGGGTTGTGCGTTTATTATTTTCGTTTTTTTAATCTAATCTGATGGTGTAGAATAATGGTATTATCAATTTAAATGAAAATAAAGGGCTAGATGTTTCTAATATATTAAAATACCATGTGACGACTTAGGAGCGTTTATAGGAGTGCCACATGACGGTATGAGAGCATTTGTAGGATGTTTAATGGACTTTTAGTATATAGATAGATAGATCGATCGATCTAATCCAATGGTATAAAATACTGGGTTCATAAATTTAAGTGAAAATCAATGATAAGTTTAGATAAAACCATGTGACAGCCTACGAGCGTTTGTATGAGTGCCACATAATAGCTTTTTTTCATAAAAGATGTTTCACCTAATGTATTTATAATATTTCACTATTTATAGATCTAATGTTGCAGTGAATTAAAATATTCTTTTGCAACAAAAAAACCCACATATTTTGGAAACTCTCTATTAAGTGAATTTGGTTTATTTTTTGTTCCACCAAAAATGTTTCACCTAGTGTACTCACAATGTTTCACTATGTATAGATCTAATGTTGCAGTGAACGAAACATTCCATTGCAATAAAAAAAACCCCACATATTTTGGAAACCCCTGTGAAGGGAATTTGGTTTATTTTTTGTTCCACCGAAAAATGTTTCACTTAGTGTACTCATAATGTTTCACTGTGTATAGATCTAATGTTGCAGAGAACTGAAATATTCTTTCGTTATTTGTTGAAACATTGTTTTTATATAAGGTGAAACAATACCTGATTTAAACGAGTGAAACATTTTCAATCTAGGGTGTGCTTAGTTCACGCCAAAATTGGAAGTTTTGTTGAAATTGGAACGATGTGATGGAAAAGTTGGAAGTTTGTGTGTAGGAAAGTTTTGATGTGATGGAAAAGTTGGAAGTTTGAAGAAAAAGTTTGGAACTAAACAAGGCCCTACTTAGTGAAACAATTCCGATATACCTGGTGGAACATCGTGTAACATTTAAAAATAGGAAAAAGTACGAATTACCCTCCTGAACTATCACGGTCGTCCGAATTACTCCCTCGAACCACAAAACCAGACATATTAAACCTCAAACTATTGAAACCAGACAAATTACCCCCCTCACTCAACCTGAAGTAGTATTAATCCTTCGTGGCATACACGTGGCGCTGAGGTGGAAATCCAATCAGCATTTTCTTTTTAAAAATGGTGGGGCCCACCTGTAAGACCTCATCTTCCCATCTTCCCCCCTCTCTCTCTCATCATCATCGTCACGACGCACGGGCACAAGTGGAGCGGCGGCACACAGCGGCGCACGTGCGAGGGCGGGCGGTCGGCCGCAATCCCTCGCGGCGGCCCACGAAGGTGGGCCAGCGGGGACAGGGGACGGGCGGTCGGCACGCACGTCGGCAGGTCTGGCAGGGCGGGGGGCGGGCGGTTGACGCGCAGGTAGTTTTGATCCATTCGTGTTGGTAATTTCGGCCGGAATAAGTTCACTTGGTGACCCTGAAATCTAATCCGTGACCCTAAACCACAAAACCAGATATCTTGACCCCTAAACTATGAAAACCGGTGCAATTTGACTCCTTCGGCGGTTTTGGAGAGCGGTTTCGCTGACGTGGCGGTATTGACCGGGTCTCTTTTACACGTGGCGTTGACGTGGCGTTTAGGTGGCATTTAGAATTAAAAAATATGTGTGGGACCCATTTGTCATTGACACAGATTGTGGGATCCACGTGTCCCTTCTCTCTCCCCTCCCTCAGTTCATTCTCTCCCCGCCGCTCCCTCCCTCTCTCCCGCGGCGGGCGGAGACGACGGCGAGCGGTGGAGACGGCGGCGAGCGGCGGCGGCGCCCGGGCTGAGCTCCACCGCGGCGAAGATGGAGGAGACCACAGCGGCGGCGGCGGGAGGCACACGCGGCGGGGTACGGCGAGCTCGGTCGCGGCCGACCAGGTCTTCGACGCTGTACCCGGCGGGCGGGAGCCGGCGGCGGCGGTGGGAGGGCGGGCGGGTGAGGGCGGCGGCTCGTGGCAGTGGGGGACGAGGGAAGCCGGCAGCAGTGCAAGTCACACCCTGAAAATCCTAAATTTATAAATTGTTGTTTAAATGGAATTATTAGAAATGATTTTAAAAGCCTTGAAGAAAAGATCTAATTTTAAATAATAAATTCCAATATAAAAGTGGGCTAGATAAAATTTTATTAAATACTTCTCTTGATTCTGTAGTTCCTAGATTTTTCTAGGATTTATTTGAGCCGAGGAAGTATTTTTAATAAATGGAATTGCATTTCATGAATAATTTAAAAAGAAAAAGGTTTTAAAATCCTCTTTTGGCTTTGGGCCGAAAGTCGGCCCAAAACCCCTCTCTCTCTCTCCCCGGCCCAAGTGCGCCAGGCCTAGCTAGCCCGACGAGCCGAGCCGCTGCTCGCTCTCCTCTCTCCCGTTGACAGGTGGGGCCCACCTGTCAGGGCCGTCGTCTTCCTCGCGCCACCGCAGCCGCGCCCTAGCCGCGCAATCCGCCGCCGCCCCTTCCAAATTCGCCCACGTCTTTCCCGATCCGATCAAATCAATAGAGGGGAAATGATCCTCGGGATCTCCTCTTCCTTTTCTCTTTTGGAATCTTCGGCTAATTTCGTTTGGAAATCGTTGGATTCGAGCTCGATTCGGATTCGTTTTTTCCTCCTAACCCTAAACCTTCCATCGCTGTCGCCGGCTGCCGTGAGCCTGCGTCGCCGCCTCCTAGCCCCTATATAAGGACCCCCGGGACCTCCTCTATCCACCACCACCCTCGCCTCAGCTCGCCGCCGCTTGTAGTGCCACCTCCGCGACAACCCGTGCGCTGCCGTCGCC